GCCCAGTGTTCATGTGCACTGATATATATTGGTGCATGGGATAAGAAAAATTAATTTCCACTGGCTGCATAATAAATACTATGGTAGGAGAAGTGTGTACAGTGCAGTGAACCTCCTTCTTGCACTGAATGGTTCAGAAGCTATTGAGAGGCATTCATCTGAAGGGAGTTGGGTCTCATATTAGGCCATGTGATGTCTAAAACTAAACCCAAGTGATTCTGCTATGCAAGTGCCTCTGTGACTAGGTAGTGTACAAAATGTGTGGTTTAGGCTGGGAGGTTGATGCAAGTTGCCTTTGTCCTGCTGTTGGCCCTGCTGCCAGGGCCACAGGCAAACTCTCAACTTCTAGGTGTTTAGCTGAGTCCGAGGTGCCCTTGCTGTTCCCTAGCACCTGTTTTGAAAGTGAATCCTTGGGTGTTTGTACAGGCCCTATGGCAATGCTGTCTGAGGATATCTCAAGCTTTGCTTCCACCAAAGTGCTCAACAGCCTTTCCCACCTCTGGGTTATCTCCCATGAGGGTTCTGATTACTTTTATAGAAATGTGGCTCATGAGCATGCTCCAGCAAAGCAGTATTTTTGGTGTCACTTTGAGCATTCACTTGTATGACACCAAAATTGCTTTTGACTCCCATAAACTGTGGAGAGAGGGTTCGGTGGTGATACGTAGCTCACCTTGTTCTGCTGGTGCTGGCTGTTGTGGAGAAGTACCATTGCTTCCACAGAGCACGTCTTGTCATGTTGGGTTCCTATCAAGTCCATCCTGAAGGGGACACCCACTTCTTGTTTAGCTTTACTTGAGATACAGGAAAAAACAATGAATCTCTGAAAGGTTCCATTTGTTGCTTGTTGATAGACATACTGTATCTCAGACTGGGATTTTTCTATGCATGCCTGAACAGGGATATACTTGGTGTAAGCAGATTGCTGGTAATAGTTAGGCATCCTTTGCTGGCCATAGAAATTCTGCATTTTTGCAATGCTTTGAGCTTCTGATCTTTCCATGCTGTGCAGAGACAGGTAGAGCTTCCCGAGTGCTCTATTCATGTGAGGTTCCCCAAAACAAGCTCCCTGCAGCGTGCTATGCTCATTTGCCTTTCGTCCTTCTAGAATGCAAGGTCACACATAGAAGGTTTCTCACTACATTGCTGCTTTTATTACATGCGTACAGAATTGAGAACATGTGAGTTCAGCTGGAATCAAGATGACCCCTCTGTGGATATATACTTTGCTCATTCTTGCCTAGGGAGGTAAAATAACTTTTACTGAAATATGTCCTTGCATAGGTGGTTATTAAAGGTAAACTTTTAGGCACAGTGTGGTGTATCCTTACAGAAGATAGGTTCATTAGCTTCAAGATTAACATCCAGAACTAAACGTACATCAATATTATTTTTTGTTGCATTGGGTTTGTTTGTTTCTTTGGTTTTTAGCATTATCTTCTCATTCTGAAGTTATTCTGCTTCCCTTGGATTTTCCTTCAATAAATACTATTTTCCAAAGACAATATAAACATAGAAGAATAAAAAGTTTTGTATAATTGAATGATGACACCGGATTCTTTATATCACTTGACTGTAATTAAGTAGAATGGTCATCTTATCTGTACTAGAACATCTGAAGTAGATACAGGATGCAATGACTACTAATAATGAGAGAAGAATACAGCAAATAAATCATATTCTCTGGTTTTAGGTTAAGGGAGGTAATAATTGCACTTCCCCGAGTTTTCAGCTTATTAGTATTTTATGCTACTATTTTCTAATACAATATTAATGTAATTCTGGTTAAAATCTCCCTCATCCCTTCTCAAACTCTTACGTTTGGTATAAGTTTCTATAGTTCAGAACTTCTCAATAAAGTATTTTATTGCTCAGCTTCCTCAGTTGAAGGTGGTAGTTTGCTAATTTATATAATGAGGCATAGGAATATGTAGAAAAGTGGTCGATAATGAACTTTAAACCTTTTATTTGTAAAAACTATAAAGCAGAAAGCTTTATTTTGCTGAACATGCTGAAAAACTTATTGGGGGAATACTGTGCTTGGGGTATTTTGTCTTTTCATGTATTTGATATGGATATATAGTCAGTTGTACTGATCTCTTGTGAAGCTGGAAAACACCTAAAAGAAAAGCACAAAAAAAAACCCAAACCAAACCCACTTTCATTCATTCAAGAAGATATGGCACAGTTGTGTGACAGACTAAAGACTCCCTGAACAGACACATCAGATTGCTTCAGACAAGAATTCTTTTCAGGCCAAAAGTAGGAAAAGCTCTATTTTTTAATTTATTTTTTTTTAAAAAGGTTGGGTTTTGGTTTTTTTTTCTTTTAAAGCTGGGTATCTAAATTTAATCTCTGTCAAATTGTAAAGATTTTTTTATAGGAAAACCCTGTATTTGTGTTTGTGTGCTGTCTGCAAGACTGAGGCATCAGTTTGTAATCAAGAAATGGCAACTGTAATGTGAAACTATATTGGACGATTCAAAAGCTAAAGAACATTAATTTAACTAGGGAAAACGGCACTCTTTTCATACCAGAATATATTCATAACCTTGTAGGAGCAAATGCACTTTTGATATAGTATCATAGAGTCATTTAGTTGGGAAAAGACCCTTAAGATCATCAAGTGCAACCGCAAACCTAACACTGCCAAGTCCACCGCTAAACCATGTCCCTAAGCAGCATGTCTACATGTCTTTTAAATACCTCGAAGGATAGTGACTCAACCACTTTCCTGGTCAGCCTGTTCCATATTCTGTATGTTGAATAAGAAGGTAGCATTAGGATAAAAATTTTGGTCGTGAATCTGCCACCTTGGCTATAAAAGTTTTACAGTATTTATTAAAAGACCATTACAGTAGTTGTGAGGAGAAGCCTGACTAAAACTGCAAAAGCCAAAATATTGGTAAAATTTATTGCAATCATTTTTTAGACCTTCCATCTAAGATTTCTTAAGGTGAATACATGAAAATATTTCTATGGAAGTCAGACTAGTGATGTTAGGGATCACAGCTAATCAGCTACTAGTGATTCATTTAATACTATCGGGTACTATGCCATTAACAAACTTCTACATTTTGTACAAATTTACTGCTTAAAAAGGGCCAAGATGGAATTCCTGGAAATGATAATTCACTCTTTATGCACAGACTTCATTTTCTTTTCTCACTGATTTGGATGAGGTGGCACAGTCTTTTACATCAGTGTGTTCTTGCCAGCAACATTTAGTAATTCATTCTGCCAGCAAGAATGCCACCTGAGATGCTACATCTTTTTCTCTCTTTTGAGGTGATATCTATCACATAGAAATCTGGATACTGGAAAGAGGGACTGTGTAGTGCAAAGTAATATATTGCTTATTAGGGATGGATGTGAATTCCAGAAAGGAAGATAACTCTCAGATCCCAGTGTGTCAGCTGAAGCTGTGGTTGTTCATTGATTTTGAAAATCAGGCAGAAGGAATTTCAAATTGGAAAAAGTAATATTTCAAAAAGAGCCACTGTCCCTAGTCACCACCCACTAAGGCTCCATTTGAAAAGGTAATTTAAATAAAATTAATTTCTTCCAGTTTAACACTTTGCCATTATTATTTGCCAGAGGACTCTGGCTATGTTTATCTTAAAGATTATTAACTTCAGTGGACTTGAATACAAGCATTTTATTTGAGTGTCTCATCGAAGAGGTAGCTTCTTAATCTATGAACTCTCACTACAGTGAGTCAATATAAACCACAGATGGTATATATTTGGAAATTGATGATGATGTATCGATTTGAATTTGTTAGGTTAACACTTTCGATGCCAGCTCAAAATTGAAAGTTGTCCTTTTGAAACTATTTATATGTAAATTAGGCAATTATCCTTTTTTTTAACACTATCAAATGTGATAAATATTCAACCCAAGTACTTTTCCTGTAAAAAGAGACCTCCAGAAAGAACCATTTAATTTCATTTACATTATTCTTGTTCACAACATAGATACTAGGAGCTATAATCACATATTCATAAGAGATCCAGCAACCATTGGGAAAAAGGAAGACAATTCAAGATTTTAAACCTATTAACTCATTAAAAAGAGCATATATTCTCAACATCAGAACGAAATAAATTTACGGTTTGAAAAGTTAAAATAATTTCTATCTTTTTTTTTTTTCACAATGGATACAACAGATTATTTTGTTCTCCCCTATAAATATATTGTAAAAATGTACAGAAAAATGTTTTAATCATGACTATGTTCACTGTTATCAAAAGAATGATTATTACTGAGTAACTTCAATCCATTTTGTATTCTCAGTGTGTAAGAAAGACCTATATTGAAGCATAAACAGATCATGCCTTGGAGGAAAGTGTACTCATTGCCTAATTGAATATATCATTCATTTTATTATTCATTTGAATATATTGTTCATTTTATAGAAAAAACTCTACCTAACCGATCCTCTAGTGTACATGCTCATTATTTTAAAAGTAAGACCTTCCATTGCTTAAGTGCTTGCACGAACACATCTAAATTTACTCTCTTGTGTAGTCCAATTGAATTAACTTAGCTGCGCATTTGAATAATGATCAGTAGAACTAGGAATCATAGTTGTAATTTCTTTTAGAATTCGCATGTAACTGTTCACTTGAGAAAGCAATTTATGACTTTCTCTATAAAAATAGAAAATCAGACAAATAGAAGGATGCAAAGTAGTTGCAAAATGTTAATGGTTTTGCTTTGAAATAGTGTGATTTGTGTATCAAGTCAAAGAGGGCATATATGTTTTAAACTACTGAATTAAGAAATGAAGATGCTTCCCTTGTGCTGAATGAATGCTGTACAAGTCATTCATTTAAAAAATATATAAAATAATATTTGATTTTTAACCATGATATTTATTCTTAAGTCAGCTCCTTTATTCATAAATCAGTTCCTTCAGAGTAGATTTAGATCTGAATATTGATGGCAGACTACTGAATCATTTCATAAAAAACTAACACTATTTTTTCTCTTTTCAGTTCAACAGAAGAGCAGTTTCACTGGCAAACACAAGGTAATGTACTTATCTACATATAGTATTACATACATTCTCTCCTAGCATGATTATATTTCCTAAAGAAGATAGAGGGGAAAACAAAAATTATTTCTGCGATTTTTTTTTCATTGCAATTGTGTGAAAAACCTACTAAAAACTGGCAAATTTTGGCAAAATTTGTTAGGGTTGACAAAAAGAGCACCAAGACTCACGTAGAGTTTTGAGAGGGACCATTGCTAAACATGTCTCTAACTTTTTTTAAGATTAGACCTGAACGTTCTCATTTTGCTTTTATTAATCCAAAGAATGGCATAATTTTCAATATGGCCGACCTCCTCTGAATATGTGATCTTAGCATGTTCTCCATTCTTCCATCAGCTGTGAATGCTTAGTCTCTTGTAGCTGATTTTACCTTTTGTCTGGTAACTGGTTTTACCTTTTGCATTTCTTTTACATTTTTATGTTATTAATTTTATTACAGATGGTCAGAAGGATATAGAAGATGAGCTCACCACTGGTCTGGAGCTGGTGGACTCCTGTATTAGATCACTGCAGGAATCAGGCATACTCGATCCACAGGACTATTCAGCCAGTGAAAGTAAGTTGCTGGAAATGTGCTTTCTAGAACCCAGACATATTTGTAATATTTCATGCTTTAAAACTGAATGAATATCTTACAGGTTTTTTTCTTGATTATTTTCTGACATTGGCAGAAGACAATGTAGTTGCAAGCAGGCAAATTGCCGCCTTGCCTTTGCAAGTTAATTTTGGGGTTTGTTTGTACTGGAGAGAATCTCACTGCTGGGGAAAGAAAACCCAGTGTGGAAATTTTAAGGAAAATATTTTGTAAATGCAGTGTTGCTGTACTATAAGGTCATGTCACAAGACTTCAGCATCACCACTACAAAAGACAGCACTTTTTCGGTTTGTGAAAGCAATAAAGTGAAACATAGTGGGGGGCTGTGAGTAATTCTTATGTCTCTCTATAACCACTTGGCCAGGTTGCCACTACTCCTTAAGGCTAAATTTTTCAAATGGTTTCACAGACAGAAATAGTTAGGTTACATTTTTAAAGATGATGCCAAGATTGGCAGCTGTAGCAAGAAAGCTGATGTCTTTCCTCAAAGGTTGGCTCGCTGGTCATTGAGCAGCCATTCTGTTTGCAGAATTGTGCAGTGAGTGAATAGATCCTCTGCTAGAACCAGCTGTTGGGGAAGTGAATCAAAGCTAAACAACAGCAAAAGTGAATAAGGGACATGCCACTCAATGTACTTGTAGAGCAGATGTCTACAAAACGCTTGTGCTCATGTGTCATATACACTGAGACAAAGTTTTCCAACAGGTTAACAAGTCTGTTATCAGATGTAACACTAGATATTGAAAAAGCAGGTTAATTCCCTGTTTTCCTTTCCTTTTCCTCAGTCTCCTGTTTGATATTCTGTTCCGATCTGCCAGAATGTACACCCACTTCCACTTTGCTCCTACTACAGCTACTTTCTCTAGTATTCCTCTACACCTTCTTCCACCTGCTCAGTTGAGACACTTTTGTCTTTTTCAGTTCTTTTCTGCCCAGTGCCTTCTGACTGAATCATGTCTTTCAAGGTGGCTGCCCAGACTCAGCTGTCTTGAAACCAAAGGGGATGATCTCCCCATCATCTGGAAAGGCTAATGAAATGTGACAACCACCTTCTGCAAAGCATCTCTAGCAATGACGAGTCATCACCTGAAATTTGGTCATCAGGTGATGAAAGGAAGGCATTGCAAATTGAATGCAGAACTTTAATTTGTCAGGACATTTTTCATTATTTTCAAACAAGATTTGCAGTAAAATTCACAGCTGACAATCCTGGGACAGTAAAAATTTCTCAATTTTCATATGCACAAGTTATGTGCGTATGTGAACGTAGTCTATGTGATTAACATCTGTTAAGTTGCTACCTGGTCTGAAAAAAATGTGAAAATGTGATGAAACAGTGTAAATCCTTATAATTTGCCCTGTTTTTTTCTTCATTTGGGGGTGAGAAGAAACAGATTAAATGACTACCGTAAGAATTGCCTTCAAATATGATTCAATGGAAAAACGAAACTGAGTAGATGGCAATAGAGGAGATTGGAGGCAGGGAGGGCCTAGCTTGGATGGCAAACTTGCAGAAACTGGTTGAAGAGGTAGAAACTAAGAAAATGTTAGGGAAAGATGAAGACAGTAGATGGAGAGAAGGCTGGGTATGTGAACAAAACTAGTACTAAAGTAAATTTGTTGGGAGTATCACAAAAAGATAAGACACAGTTAGGAATATAGGTAGATGGAAAGGAGAATAAGGAACATGGGCGAATGGAAAACAGTGATGGAGAAGAGGAGCAACAGTGATGATTGTGTGGGGGACCATCAGGGGAGGAACTGAGATTTGTGGAAGCAAGAGGTCCAGGCAGAAAGTTGGAAGCTGGATTTGCTTGGTGGGATGGTTTGTTAATGGGATCAGGAGTTAGGAGCAAAGAGGGGGAACAACGGTGTGATGAGAATTACATTTTAGAAAGGAAATCACTGTGGAGTTATGGGTAGGACAGTAGCTGTCCCTAGGAAACATAGGCTTGGAAAGAACAGGCCAGTGCATATGCTCACAAGGGAGCAGGCTTCCCCATATTGCTGCGAGCTTGATCTTCATCATTGTCAGGAAATATTCATGAAGCCTTACGTCACAGTGCCCCATACTCCAGACCCACCTCATAATGAAACTAGATTGCAATTTGCCAATTGTGGTTTTAATTAAGAATCAGATATATATGCCAAAGCTAACAATTGCAGCTCTGATAATCACTCATGAATGAAATTAGGATGTCATGTACTGGATTTTCTTTTTGGTTTGGGGGTCTTCTTTAAATTTAGAGTAAAATACCACAAACACATCAGACAGTTAAAGTGTTACTGTGTTTGCAGAGTCAAAAGTACCAAAGTCAAGGATGTCTGTACAACATAATTTGCATTTTTTATGACTGCATTATAAAACAGTTATTATCATGCCCTGTTATGTACATTTCCTGTCCATGCCTCATTTACCCCAAAGCTAAGGGTCAGATTGCAGAGCATACTAGAGGGGGATTTCATTTGGAGCGCTTCTAACTTTACTAAGCAGTGAGTATACTTTCTTAGTAAAACACATACTAAATGAAAACAAAAATCTTGTATGTAACAATTCAGCTTTACACTTAAAATTTGATTGTATGCTTCCTTTGTGTCCTAAAATTCTGATGTTACAGTTGTGAAATAATTCAAAGTATCTGCTATTGATACTTAGTTTTAGGTGTTCCCAGTTAGTTCGCAGGTGTGTTGAGAACAAACAACTGTAACTGGACACTGTGGAAGCACAGTCTCAGATACATGAAGCATAATATAAAAGGAAGTTTAAAACTCACTCTGAAGTGTCTCACACACAGCATTTGTATTTCAGAGATGCTTTCAGTCTTAGTTCCTTCAGTCTCCAAATAAGAAATGAGATCTATATAAATGTCTCACTTTACAGGCATTCTAAAAATAGTTATTCGTGATGTATTTGAAGTTAAATGTTGAGTGTCATAGAATAATCCACCAGGGTGCTTTTTTTTTTTTCCTTTGTACTGGATATTTTTCAATGAAGACCTGAAGTCATGCAGTAAAAAAGGAGGCAACTACAAAGCACTGAATAGTTTTGCATTGTGTGCACTGGCTGTAAGAAAAGCAAGGAGGGGAAGAACGATGATTGGAAAAGGCAACTTAGTCTTGCATTTCCTAACTTTGAGCTCTTAACTTTACAATTTTAGTTATGGTTACTTCTGCTGTTTGACTGCATAGCTATATTTTAACAAGGCTGACTCTGAGGAGAGCATTTCCAGCCTGCCATGGCAGTTCCAGTCTAGTTGGCGTAGATTTTTTAAATCATCATATGAAAGCCTGCCCAGGGATGTGACCACAGCTTCTTTTTCTGAACTGTGTTCATCTAGTCTAACGAGTCAATCTATCTGTAGCATTCCCTTTGTAGAGGATTAGTGTGTCTGTAGTCAGAATCTTTACAATTTGGTTTCACGCACTCTGATTTTCTCAGAATTAGTTTTAAAAAGTCATCACATAGCAGGCAGCTGTTACAATACTCTAAATCCCAAACATCACTTCACATGTGCTGTTCCTTTAGTAGGAAATAAAAGCCATGAAAAAAGGCTAACAGGACAAGTCACATGAAAGGGGCTTAAACAGGAGGGGTTCTGTATTGCTAGTAGAGATGCTCGCTAATTATCCTTGCTGAGTTTGAATCAGCAAATTTAAAAAGAAAAAAACCCCTTTTATTAATTTGGTGAAATGCAAGCAGAGTGATCGCTTTTTAAAGTAATTATTATCAAAGATGGACAAGTTCATAACCACTGCGTGCTCTCATACAAGTTTTCTGTGGTTGCACTGACCCCAGGACAAGACATGCATCTGAGGGGAACTCCTGCACTGTTGCCCATCTCTTTCTTCTGTCACAACTCAGTATAAATTGACTTCCCCAAACCCATATGTTTCCAGTTACAAGTGAACAAACAAAAAGTAAGGCAACTTCCAGAATTACACAAGAAGCTGCAGCTGAGTCAAGACCTGAACCTGCATCTCTGTGGTCCAGTTCCCTGTACGGCAGTGTCTTCTCTTTATGTAGCTATATATCTATCACCACTGCGTCACTCCAGTTTACATCAAACATGATCTGACATAGTTTTTTGTGGAGTCAGAAGGGAGTTCAGCCTGTCCTACGTGTTTGTGGGGATGTCACCAGCAGAACGACAGTGGTCCACACATACCCTCAGTCCCTGAGGGTGGGCAGGCAGTGAGTGCTGCTAGTGGCAGTAGCCATTAGCTATGGTCTGTCCTAGGGACCAGCCTGGTCCCTCATTGTCACTGTGAGGGTACTTGATCCATCCTCTTCCCTGTTGTACATCGCTGTACCACCCAGTGTGGCAGTCTGGAGCTGACTACAGAGTTGGCTGCTTCTGTCGGAAACTATTTCTTCCCTCCACCATTATGTCTTTCTAAAGGGAACTCAAAATACTGCTTTTGTACAAATGGACATAAATAACTGTAACTTTACAGACATGTGAGAGCCAAGCTAATCACATATAAGTCACTAGAGACGAGTGACAGGAACACGCTCCTGTGTAGGATCTGAAATCACCTGGGAAGGAAACATGCAGGGGAGTGAAATTTAGTTCAGGACAGAGATAGTACTAGGAATGTTTCAGACAGACCTAAGACACAGAAGTACTGAATAGTGACTGTAGCTCAGGAAAAGTATTTTCATGGCAGAATTGGTCAATTTAGTGGGGAAAAAAGCATAAAAAAAAATATTTTGCGGGGGCTGAGTATGTATTGTGGAGACCAAAAATTAATATTTCAGATTAGAAAGCTTGGAAAGGTGGAGGGTGAAAGAAACAAGATGCTTTTATCCTCCCCTTCCTATCACTGCACCACTATCTGAAAATCACACAACCACTTCAGATTAATTTTTTACTTTTATTACCTAGTCAGTACACCTCCTTTTTTGTTTTGATTTGATTTATTCTTTTTTCCCCCATTAAGTGTAGGAACAACTAAAAGAG